TTTCCTGGTATAGTGTGGTATTGGTACTTTTACTTCGTGAGATCGAGGGCTTTTTCCGCACTATATATGTAATCTGGTCTTTTAAGTTGCTCTCTGTGTTACATACAGTTTCCAAAAGAAATGATAGAAGCATACGCCTAAACAAGGCTGAACAAAGATAGGTAAAAATAAACAGAGAACTATTAAATAGTGTAGTAAAGAGTATATATTTCTATAGTATGATTCGTATATAAGCGTTTATAGAATGAGTGAATTAATAAATAAAAATAACATATGACAACAACGTACAATGTCTATTTACAGTGTACAGGTTTGACCATGATGGCTGACATGTTCATCAAGGAAATAATTTAAAAAATAAGTGTTAGTTGTGGTCTGTTATATAGATGTATATTGTTCAGCAAGTTTTTTGCTAAAAATATATTGAGTAAAATATACATTTTATAAATATCATTATTTATTAACTTTTTTCTTTTTTTTTTTCTTGTTTCTGTTGCAGGGAATATTAATACAAAACACCATAGCAATAACTCTAGGGTTTTGGTTGCTGTGCCCAGAACATTTAAAGGGGTCCCAGAGGACAATTTATTTCATTTCTTAAATGGGACACAAGCTCCCATTTCATCTCAGTCCCCTCCAAGACTGCAGTTACTAAGCAACAGCACAGCAGGGTACCTCCGCAGTCCCCTGACCACTCGGGTCATCCCCATTATTTATTTGTTGGTCGCTGCTGTCGGGATCCCAGCCAACATTGCCATCTTGTGCATGCTGGCCACTAAAATTAGGAAGGTGTCCTCTGCCATCCTCTACTGCAGCCTGGCTCTCTCCGACCTCCTCCTCCTCCTCTCCCTCTTCTTCAAGGCTCACTACCATCTCCATGGAAACAACTGGGTGCTCGGAGAGGCTGCCTGCCGAGTGGTCACGGCCTGTTTCTATGGCAACCTCTACTGCTCGGCCCAGACGCTGGCCTGCATCAGCATCAAGCGCTACCTGGCTGTAGTGCACCCGTTCATGTACAAAAGTCTCCCCAAGAGGATGTGCACTGCCAGAGTCAGCGTGGCGGTCTGGGGGGCGTTTGTTGCCGCTGTCGTCCCCGAGCTCATCGTCCAACAGAGCTATTTCCTCTCTGATTTGGGCAGCATCACTTGCCATGATGTATTGCCTCTGGACCAGCAATCCCACATCTTTCTGCTCTACTACAACCTGTTTCTAAACATCTTTGGCCTCCTGGTGCCACTGGTGATCACAGTTGTGTGCTACAGCCGAATCGTCTGCGAGCTCAATCGATCAAACCTGGACTGGGCGATGTACATCAAGGCCAGCTCACTGGTGTTTGTCATCTTCCTGGTGTGTTTTACTCCTGCTGGAGTCCTGCACTTCCTCCATTATGTGCAACTGTTTGCAAATGGAACAGAGAGTTTGTATTTGTACTTTAAAGTGGCGGTGTGTTTGTGCTGCCTCCATGCCTGTCTGGACCCCTTTCTCTTTCTCATCATGTCCAAGTCTGCAGGCTCCAGGCTTTACTTCAGGCCCTTTAAAGGCACTAGCCTGAGCATAACTGTTTAGAAGAGATTCACATTGTACCAAAAACTGGTTTGGATTTTGCAACTGAATTAGAGGGAGGTTATCTCTGTGGCTGGAATCCAAAGAGAAAGCAAAAAGACATTAAATGTAAATATTTTTTTATTTTTATATACTGTCCGATGAGAGAGAAAGTGTGTCCAAACTTTTGACTGGTACTGTGGCCTTACAGTTTTCTTGTGTGTGCGTCCGTGACAGATAGAGGGAATAAAATGACAGACTGTAAATATATGAATGTATATATTTATGTGTTTAAAAGATGAAAGTAAGGTATATTGATATTAATGTTTTCATTCTGTAGAGTTTGGAGGAAAAAAATAACATGAATGCCATTGGTGTATTCGTGTTATCACATGTGATGTCTGCTGATTAAAACAGAAGCTATTTTGAAGCTGTATCATCTTTCCTTCTTGAGTCCCCCAGAAAGAACATTAACTAACCCCACCACATCACTTCTCTGTCACTGAATTGACATTTCCTGTCTAGCGCGTGACAGCTAAGGTGACACACCGACACACCACTGACTGGAATTTCCTGAAATTTGACTTTATCTGTCTGGAAACAAATATAATGTCCGTGGCTAAAATCTAAATATACCAATTGTATGATTTTGTTAATATTGCACTAAAATAAATGTTGTGTTTAAGGAAACGGAATACTTTTTAAGCAAGCATTAAGTGTTGATGATGCCTTTACATTCACAAGGACATTCTTTGTATTTCGAATGAATAGCCTTTTATGTTTAACATACAGGGTGTTCTGAAAAAGGCCTGCACTAAAATACGTGACAGTGACGTCTGTGGTCAGTGAAAAGTTGGATTATCATAATTTGACACAGACATTCATAGTTCCCTCAGGCTGAACTGTTATAACTTTGGTGATTCTTAAAAGTCCTTCACATTTATGAGAATCTATTGGCAGGAATGGAATATAATATTTGTATGTTTTCATGAAAATAAGAATCGTTGGGTTTTCGTTAGCTTAGAATGAGATGTTTTTATCTACAGATGCCTCAGGTCCTCTTCCATGGAGTCTGCCATGTTGACCTGCCATGTTTCTATAGTAGCCAAGAACGGACAAACCAAACATTGGCTGTAGATAAAGCCTTTCTTGTTGATTTTTTTGCGAGTTTCATGACCATCGTAGTTTCTCCTACACGTTTGGATGGCGAGTGATTCACACACACACTACACACTGGTCCTTTAAATTTCCTATCAAGTGCCATTATCAGGTCTATTTTTAATTTGTTTGCTCTGTTTTTTTTGACCAAATACCTGAAAAACACATTGCCGTCAGCCTCAGCTGTACACTGTGTTAACTGCTAATAAGCAAATGTGAGCATGCTAACATGCTAAAGTAAAGGTGAGGAACATAATATTGAAGTTTGAAGGTCTGGGAAAGTCAATTTATCACAAACAGATCTCTCAGAACCAGTTAGTCAGGGCTATGTTGGGCTTGAACCCAAGAGCACATATTGGCAAACAGCAAATTACAACAGCTCAGGGTGGTTAAGGCACAAGCTGTATATCCATAATACAGTGAGGTGCGTAATATTTAAAACAACAGAGCTCCTGAGTATCTCAAAGACCCTTTTTGTAGGGTTAGGAGAAGTCAGGTCCTAACAGCCAGTGTTACTGAGTTCTACTTGATGAGGTTTAACACGAACATGTTGTTTAAGGTTCTATAGTGCCAGGAAGTAGAATTAGTTTACCTACCATTGCACATTAAAGCAATACGTATTTTAATAAGTCACCGCCATAATTAAAAAAAATAAACTAGTAGGAAATACACTACTGGACTCTAATGTAATTGTGTAATCATATGGCCCCAGTCTGGCCCCTGTAGTTTGAATGGGCCAGAAACACCACTGATATCAAATAAACTAAACCAAGACTTCTTCTTGAAGTCTGTGAGTGGCCTCGAAACAAACATGAACTCTCAACAGCGAGTATTCAGAAAGTTCCATAACAGTCTTTGAAAAAGTTTAAAAACCTGACTGACACACTGCCCTGTTTCATTTTGTATAAAGGGTGCCATCTACTGGTGCAAGTGGATGCAGCCATATTTGGACACAACATGATAAAAAAAGCCCCACAGCTGTTCAAATGAAACTCTTTATTCAATATGTAGACACCAGAGGAATCCACCTTTACACTGCATTCACTTGAGCCTTTTGTTATCAAAATAAATCATATCAAGGACAGGTAATAGTTTTTACACACACTTCCATATATTGTTTGACAGCAGAGGTTTTCAAATCTCAAACACTGGCAATGTCAATCCTGCTTCAGTGACTTTAATGATTAATCTGACTTGAAACCTTTTCCAAAAATCAGATTTGACCACCCCTGCTGGAGAACACCTTGTCCAGTCATCTCACCACTGGCATGCCCTTTCACAATGACCTAGAAGTCAACTCAATAATGAACACCTGTCCACAACAAATCTGACAACACACGAGAATGATACATTCACCTTTGACCCGGGAATCACATGTCTGTTTCCCCCCACCGCGGAGGAACAGCAAAGACACCAAAATGGAAAAAGCACACACAACAGAAGGACTTCAGTAACAAACATGCAGGATTTCTTTTTGGAAACAGGGATGTATAGTGAGTTTGTTCAGCGCAGGTGGAGACGAGCAGACAGAAATAAAGCATCAAACACACTCATCAGGACACCAGATTCACATAAGTTGCATTTCATTTGAAAGAATGTATTTGTAAAAGGAAATTGCTGCATGTAGGAGGTCATGTACCAGACCAATTTGTTTTCCAGAGTTAAAAATAGAGAACATCACTACTGTATGTTGACAATAAATATCATCATCATAAAACTGATTGGAGAAAAACTGAATGAAACAGTACTGTACTTTTGAGTTAACTGACTTTTCTGTGTAATTGAATAAACCCAGAAAAGAAAATGTTTCAGGGTTTTAATCTTACAAATCATCTAATACATCTTAACATCAAAGCACTGACACTGTAGCAGCAAGAGTTTCATTCGTTAGAGGTTTTAAAGGGTCTGTTCACCCAAATCACAAAACAACACATCTTATTTAGCTCAAGTGGTACTTAGCCATGCAGATAGTTTTCGTTTTATTTTTATATTTTTGCGTCCTCGGTGCAATGGAGGTGAATGGAATATGTTTGTGGTGCTCACAGCATTGAACTATGACATTTTTAAGATGTGTCTTTCCAGAAACAACATCTCACTTGTTCTGGATAATCCACTGACATCATTCTAAACTGTTTTTACTGGATGTTGTCTCCATAAAGAAAATAGTGCCCATAGAAATTGTGTACATTCTGTGGATTCTTATATATTTGTGTTTAATATATGTTGTTTGTATATC